AGGAAAATATTGAAACTAAAATAATATTAAAATTCCATGTAATAATATTAAATAATATTAAATAATATTATAATTAAATAATAATTATAATATTATAATTAAATAATATTAAAATTCCAGTAAGACCTTATTTATTTTTTAGAACATCTCTATAATAAGGTCCATTTATATGATATTTTTGAAAAGGTGACTCCTTTCTAGTTAGGAATGTTGATTTTAATATGGGGTGAGCCTGACGTTTTCACAGCAGAACAATGAAAGAGACGGTCGAGAGTTATTGATTAAATCAGGAGATTAATTTTTTTGTAGATGTCTGGACAGTAACGTTTATTTATTTTTTAGAACATCTCTATAATAAGGTCCATTTATATGATATTTTTGAAAAGGTGACTCCTTTCTAGTTAGGAATGTTGATTTTAATATGGGGTGAGCCTGACGTTTTCACAGCAGAACAATGAAAGAGACGGTCGAGAGTTATTGATTAAATCAGGAGATTAATTTTTTTGTAGATGTCTGGACAGTAACGTTGTACTTCCAGGCCATGAAAATGCTGTGGTCTCGTGGGGAATCAGAAGTCAAGAGTAAACAAGGGAGGCGGCAGGACTGAGTAGAGCCCCACAAAAATAATCGGCTGGACGGTGCGTGGGAGGGAGTCCTGGAGAGATGGACCTATGAGATTAAGTTCTGGAGGCTCAGGAAGAGGACCTGCAATTTTACAAAGCAAGTGTTTTTGTGGTTCTTGAAAGAATAATGTATAAATGAAGGACAGGGTGGTAGAAGTTAAATCTGGACTAGCCTTAATGCAGGAATGTTCTGTGGGGAAGAGGTGGAACTGAGTCATAAGAAAAAGCACTGAGATCCAGAAAGGACAGGTTAGTATCTGTAGTCATTGCAATCTGAAGTGAGATGGATGGCTACAAGGCTGACAGAAATTATTAGAATGTTTTGGGGGGTTAAAAAAATTCTCTAATATATAAACATTACTTTTGTTATAAAAATGTAATTTTTATTCCTAAAGATTTAATAGCATGCCCAGCTCCAACCATCTGGCTGGTTCTGGCCACCAGGAATGCCATCCTTTCTTCTCTCCACCTGCTAAGTACTTAATAGCTGCTGGGCACTGGCCTTGCCTCTGGGACACAGATACAAACAAGCAGCCCTCTTTCTTGGGGAGGGAGGCAGGCATGTGGCATCTATGTAACACACTACAGAGGAGGCTCATGGTATACAGTGGGTTAGTTAAGTAAAGCTACTTTAAAAACAAAACTCATTCATACAAAAGTCAAATACTGTCAGATTTTATACATGATGTAACATGTGCCTTCTCACCTTCCAGTCATAACTCCCGCCCCGAATTAGATAAGATGTTTAGTTCACTGACATTCTACTCCCCAAACCTCAACCTGGAGAATCATCTTTCATTTACTCTTTTTTCCCCATGCAATCTGTATTCTATGTATTTCTTACTGTGATTTGTAAATATTATACCTAGTGAAGCCAAGTGATGGTCTGTGACTTTTCCTTCTACCTTTTGAGTTATTGCTGATTTTATTTTCTTTGACTTCTAAGTTTTCTCCTACGTCTTGGAAAAGCTTGAAGATGGTTTTGAAAATGTTTACTAGGCGTACAGAGGCCTGCGAGCAAGCTCACTGCTGAGTCTTAAGGCCCCACCCTCCCCTTTACCCTTGAGTATCTCCACTCCAGAGCTGACTGTGCTACCAGCTCTGCTAGGAGACTGGAGCCTACTTCCTTCAAAAATGGCACTCCAGGAAACCAAGGCCTTATCCACGCCAGTCATGATGCTTTTATTTTCTCTGCCTGGACTCATGCATCATTGGGAAGCAGTCGACAGTTAACAGTATCATAAATGCTATATTATCTGAAGTTTGAAAAAGAGGATAAACTCTATCACCAACAAGTGGATTATCTGAATCATGGCTGATCTTTATAAAACATATCTTCAGCCACTCTTAAAAATCTTTTCTTTTTTGGCATTTTTCTTGATTTCTAATTATTTCTATGTACAATGCCAGTATAATCAGAATTACAAATGTTTGTAACTGTGGTGTCTTTATGTCTACACCAGAAAAGAAAAATCTGATAGTGAAAAGACAATCCTGTTTAGTATGTTGCTTAGGTTAATAAGTTAGCTTTTGTTAATTTCCAGCAAGAATTCTGCAAGGAGTGACTGGCTGGCAAAGGCTCATAAAATGACTCAAAGCACAGATTCCTAGCTTTCACCAACTCATTTGTTGGCAGTATGGCTTCATTATACTACAAGAGGATGGCATGTTCTGTGAAACATCACATGTGGGCACACACAACTTCCACTCCCCAAGTTCCAATGCATGAAGCAACAAGCTCCTGGTTGTCCGAGCACTCTTTGATTCTACTTGCTGCTGTTCTGTGTCCTTACTGTAGGAAAGTTCTCAAGATAGTTTGCTTTTATTTTGCCAGTGACCCTAGACAACATTATTTTTCTTTCCTTCCTTCCTTCCTTCCTTCCTTCCTTCCTTCCTTCCTTCCTTCCTTCCTTCCTTCCTTCCTTCCTTCCTTTCCTTCCTTCCTTCTTTTTCTTTCCCTCCCTTCCTCCCTCCCTCCCTCCCTCCCTTTCTGTCTTGTCTTTCTTGCCTAGCTGTAGCCCTAGCTGGCCCGGAACTAACTCACTATGTAGACCTGGCTGGCCTTGAACTCACAGTGATACGCCTGCCCCTGCCTCCCAAGTGTTAGGATTAAAGGCATGCGCCACCACGCCCATCAACATTATTTTTCTAAAAGGAAAGAAGAAACTATAATTTAATGTGGCAAACCCAAAGTATGTCTCTGTACAATTTTTCTTTATGATCTTTTTGAGATAGGGTTTCTCTTTATCTCCAGCTGGACTGGAACTTACTATATAGACCAGGCTGGCCTAGAACTCACAGAGATCCACCTGCCTCTGCCTCCCAAGTGCTGGGATTAAAGGTATTTGCTACCACACCCAGCTCTGTGCAATTTTAAAAAGTGCTTTTGTATATCTACAATGGTCTTCTTTGAAGAATAGTTTTTTGTTTGTTTTTTGTTTTTGGTCTTTTTGAGACAGGGTCTCCCTGTAGCCCCAGCTGGCCTGGAACTTGCTATGTAGAGCAGACTGACCTCAAACTCACAGAGATCCACCTGCCTCTGTCTCCCCAGTGCTGGGATTAAAGGCTTGTGCCACCACGTCCAGCTGAAGAATAGTTTCTAAGATGTTTATTTTTGTGTCTTTAAAAATATTTTTCACAAGCCAGTATTAATTTCTCAATATAAAATCCAGCATACAAGAAGTACGTGGCTTTATTTTTAAGTACTTGTAGACTATTCAATACATCTTTTTGTTATGGATTATCTGATTTAATTCCTTTGTAGTCATAGAACATGTTTTATATGGATTCAGTCTTTTAAAATTTGAGATTAATGTAGTTTACCATATTATAAATCTTAGGAAATGTTTGATGTACACTTGAAAACGATGTATAGTCTATAGTCATTAGATAAAACATTCAGCAAATGTCAAATAGTTCAGGCTGACTGACAAGGTTTATCTATTCTATAGTCAGTGATTTCCTGTCAGTTTTTAAGTGATGAGTTTTGAAAATTTTAGCTGCACCATATTTGCCTCTTGTGCAGTTCTGTTAGTTTTTACTTCCTTTTACTTCATACATTTTAAAACTGTCTTATTAGGAATATACATTTAAAGATGTCATAGTGAGTTAGTTTTTTTTCTTTCCTTTTTTTTGGTGCTGTGACAAATACTGAAAGAAAATGTATTCAGGTTCATATTTTATGTAACTTCAAGCTATAGTAGGCTGGGTCCAATGAGAAGCAGGAACATTACAGAGAAGGGCACAGTAGAAGAAAGCTGTCTACCTCACAGCAGCCAGAAAACAAAGAGGAGA